ACTAACACATTTCTGAAGTAGGCAGAGGATAAGCAAATAGTGGAGTGAGGCTTGATGTTTGGCAGGAGAGCTGCACCAGTCATTTGTAACACAGCGTGATACACTGCATTATCCATTTAAATATTCTTTGTGTTGAGATGGCCTGACCCTTGGGGTGGCCAAGTCCACCCAGGAATAAACAGAGAGAGAGCCTGAACAATTTATTTTTCTGAGCATAGAGAAGCAAAACTCTGGAAATGCCCAGTATGTGCAGCTTCTCTCCCAATGCAGAGTAAGGCTTGGGGGGAGGGGGGAGCTGATTGATTCAGAGGGAACTCTGAAACCACCTTGGGAAGGAATGTAGGTTGACATTTCAATACCACCTCATCTCTATAGAATGTCATGTAGGAAGGATCAGCCATAATAGTGCTTGAAGCTCCTTACTCACTCTCTTGGTCTAAGTGATATCAGGAAGATTGTCTTCAGATTGAGATGAAACAAGGAGCATTCTGAAAAAGGCTCAAAGGAAGGCCCCCTGAGCCTCAAGTGGACAATGCTGATATGTCAGGCAGGAGCAGGTTCTTTGACTGGTGGGTAAGTATGTGATAGGCCTGTGAGGAACTCAGATACCATACAGAGGGAGAAGATGGCAAGCAGAGATTGCTCCGAGGGGGACCTTAACGGAGCTGAATGGAAGGCTAGAGGGTTCTAATTGCAGCAAATAGTCTGTATAAGGTCCAGGCCATGTTGGGCCATCCAGATAGAGCACTTCTTCCATTCTGACAAATAAGTCCTTCTGGTAGACATCCTCCTGCTCTATACCATGATCTCCTGGACTTATAATAACAATTCCTGTCCATGGTACCTAAGCAGCCAACATCAAGGCCAACAAGCTCAGGAACTTCAGGTGGATGGAGTATCTGCGGTGCTGTGAGATCAGGTCTGCGCAGTCTGGGATCTGGATCAGAGTCTGAATAGACATTTGTAGCATGTCTGTCAACCAAAACTGCCTCAACTAATAGGCAGCTATGAGAATGACTGTAGCTTTGTCTCTTGATTTTGGACATCACGCTGAGCATCAGGAGAAATCAGTCAAAAGGTGAAAAGGAGGCCTGGATTCCACTGCAGAAAGAACACATCTGGCAACGAGCCCTGGCTCCAATTTCTTTGGAACAGAAATTCTGACACATGGAATTGTCCTTGGTCGCAAAACAGGTCTACCCTGTCCTACCATAACACTGGCATATCTTCTTTACAATGGATCTTTGCAGGGGACACTACTGACTGGTCATGTATGGTCTCCTAAATAAGCCAACCGAGTCACTGCTGACTCCTGGAAGATGAAGACCCATCAGGGTTATCTCATGTTGGTAGCATTGTGTCCAGAATCCGACAGTCTCCAGAAGAGGAGCAATCAGCAGGGTCCTCCTGCTTTCACATGCAGTGGATTGCAGATGAGCTGTCAGTCAGAATCTGCACTGTGAAATTTCAGAGGACAGGTAGGAATGGCATACAGGCTAGCCTGACGAATGAGTTCCAGGACTTATGTGAAGTCCCATGTCTTCTGGGAACCAGGGGCCTTGCATTTGCACGTGGTCCAGGTGGGCTCCCCAGCCTGTCCCTGATGCACTCATAATTAAAATTCCTTTTTGGGGTGAGAGGGATGTGAATATTCCTCTTTTTTCAGGTTCTAGGTACCACGTCAAGTCTACAAGGACACGAAGTGGCACAGAGACCTCCTTGTCCATCTGCTGTTACACAGGGGGAGAGACTATCCTGAACCAAAGCTGTAAGGGCCCCAGGTAAAGTCTGAGAAGCAGCACCATGGACACACATGCTGACATATGACCTAACACCCTAAGGCAAGTCTGTACTGTCATGTTTGATTTTATCTCAAGAAGCAGTGATTGCATAACAGGATTCTAACCTCTGAGAGGTCTGCTCTCTCTTACCAAGAGTTGATCATAACTCCTATGAACACTTATCTGCAAAGGAGTAAGATGATTTTTCATTCTTCACAAGGAAGCCCAACCACGCAAACAAGAAGAGTGCATCTTCTAGACTTGCCACCTTCTCCTACTGAGACTTGCCTCTTCTCAGCCAGTTGTCCAGGTACGGGTAAATGTGGATGACCTGTCTCCTCAGATGTGCCGCTACCATCAGCAACCACCATTTTGTGAAAACTCTCAGCGCCACAAGTCAACTCTCAGAGTTGAATGGCAGTAACCTGTGTGCAAATTTCGGGAATCTATCTGTACACCTTAAGAAATTCTGGCCGACATTATGAAGTTGTTACTATGAAAACTTCTGTGTATGTGGATTCCACCTTTGCTGACAAGGGCTGAATCACATCCCTCCCATACCAGGAACAAAAGGGGGTCATTAGAACTCAATGACTGCATATTCTGATAAAAGCATCTTGGGACAATGGATTAGCTGGAGCACAAGACAACCAGTTTTTCCCTACCCCTCTGCAGGGGGCTGGTGTTTGGAAAGTGGAAAATCCCCAAACACAGGACAAAGAAATCAAGGTGTTGATGCTAACCTTTAAAAACCACAGAGATGAGCTGGGTCACAGGAGATGACTCAGCTCAGGGGGGGAGGAGATAGCTCAGTGGTTTGAGCATTAGCCTGCTAAGCCCAGGGTTGTGAGTTCAATCCTTGAGGGGGCCATTTAGGGATTTGGGGCAAAAATTGGGTCCTGCTTTGACAGGGGGAGATGACTCTAGAACCACGCTGGAAGTTTTGGGCAGGAGAAGAGCAGAGATGAGCATGCTTGCATGGCAGGGAGCCCAGTTTAGCTGTAGGTCCAAACAAGTCAAAGCAAGGTGACCTGGATAGAGAGGGGCTCTCTGGTTAAGAAACCAAGCCATGAGCTGCAGCAGAAGGGTCCCTCGGACACCTCTAGAGGATTCAAACCCAAGCCCAAAAAATGCTGCAGAGTGACGAGGAAACTGAGTCAGCGAAATGTGTTTCTTTTCTTTTCTTTTTAAATAGATCTATGCATTTCTTGTGCTAATAAAGAAGGAGCGATGGCTGTTTACAATCCTGTGCAAGGTCTGACAGTGTGTGTTGTATTACACATATCACAAGCCCCTGAACAGTTAGTTTATGGACCAGAACACCCATGTGCCTGGAGTTCTGTGAGAGTGTGTTTAAGCTACAGGACAGTTTGAGATATCAGCACTGGTCCCAGGGGTGAGGCAATTGTACCAGGAGGTTTCAGCTGAGGAGAGTGTGCTAAACAGAGGTGCTACACACCAACTGTGTGCTCAGAGACCACACATCCAGGGGAATGTTTCAACAGTTCAAACTCCAAAGGTGGAAAGTACATGGGATACAGTGAGGTGGTTGCTCACAGCATGAGTGACCAACAGGGGGTGCTTAGCTAGATCCAACACTTGGTACTGACAGCGATTTGGACCCACTCAGCTATTTCCTGTTGGCCAGACGGATGGCTATGTGGAAGTATGAGTCCTGCAAGTCGAGAGCCACAAACCAGTCCTGAGCCTACATGGATGGAATGGCAGAGGCAAGAGTTAGCATCCTGCACATGGGGCACCAGTGTATGTATTTGTTCAATCTCCTCAAGTGTAGGATACGACTAAGACCTCTTCTTCAGGATAAGGAAATATCAAGAGTAGAAGCCTCATCCCCTGTATTCCCACAATTTCTCTTCTATGACTCCTAGACAAAGTAACAAGGCCACATATGTTTGCAATAAGCTCTATAATACGCTCTCTGAAGCTGGCCAGGGAGGGTATCAGTCAACACTCAGGAGCAAGAGATATAGGGGGTTCTGCAAGGGCATAACATGGCTTGGTTGTGGGCATCAACACAAGTATTGGGGTCCTGTACCTTATGCTGTTTCCACGAAGGTGGAGGACTTAGAGCTTCCGTCCTTGGAGAAGTGATGGTTTCTGTCCTTGTAGGATGGCCCCAGTATTGTTTGGAGATGCATTTATGCTCCACATGAAATTATGCCTCAGCTTCTCTTCTTCTGTCAGCATGGCATAGGTGTTGTTGAAGTTGCTAGCCCCAGTTTCAACAATGTCCTCTTCCCCGCCTTTCTATCTCTACCTGATCTCAGGAAACAGAGGCATCCCTCTACATGATGGAGTGCTGGTCAAAGCAGCCTTGAACCTCCATCTTGATGGTGATTGTTTCTTCTAGGTCTGAAATGACCTGCATGGATTGCTCAAGCAGATGTAACTAGAACTGTGTGTCTCTGGACTCGTGGGTCTTGGAGGAAAGCAATCAGCACACTCAACACCTGTCTGGGATATGGCTGTCCCCTAGGCAAAAGACATAGTAATCTATGTCTGTCAGTGAGGGGATGAAGCTATGACAAGAGAAGCAGGGTTTGAAACAGGACTATTTAGACTCCATATGGGGGGGGGCCCCCGCAGGGAGAATGTCTTTTTTATTGGAATATTCAAATTAAAGAAAACGAGATAAAAAGGGTGAAGATCAATTCTCCTTAACAAACTAATTAGGAAAAGGACAAGTTTGACATTCAGAGGATGTAGTGGGTTGGACGCTCACTGGCAGTAGTAGGGAACTGAGGGAGAACTGTGGCCGCACTGCCTTTTATGGCTTCACACAAGAGCACAAGGAGGCACAGTATGCATGCACAGCCCTGACAAACACTGCTATTCAAAAGAATCCAGTCTCCTGAACACAGGCACCTATCTTGGGCTGACAATGACACACACAAAGGACTCAAATTTTTGTACCTCTCCCCTCTTAGTCATTTTGAAGGAGTTTTATTTGGTATTTTAAGATTTAGAATGTTGCAATTCTAATCACTATTAAAAATGTTAATGTGTGTTTTAAAATTTTAGTGAGACCCTCAATAAATACTGTACAGCAATGAGGAGAAATACAGTCTCAGAATACTATAGTCAGAAGTCTCATTTGTTTAGTATATCCTGTTTAATTACCTTGCAATTTACAGAGACATTGCAAAATGTTGAAGCAAAACTAAAAATGGCTTTGAAATTAAACTGTTTTGTACTTACATTCCAATCAACTGTTGAAAAAAAAGGATGTCTCTTGATTTCTTCAACTCCATCGGAACCAGCTCCTGTAATTAAAGGGAACGAAAGTGACAATTAAAACCAGATTCAGTGTAAAAATCTCTAAACAAAATTGCATTAAAAAGTTAGTCACTTGGTTTGTTAGAAAACTGCATGGAATCACTTATTCATGGAATACTGACTAAGGTTAGCGTTTTCAAGCAAGATATTTGACTGAGAACAGACTGGTGTATAGCTAGTAGAATTCACACACGTTGAAGAAAAACAATCACGTTAAAAGGGAACCTGGAAAAAGGAAAAAACTGGACTTGTGCCTTGTTTGCTTCTTTTGGAAATATATAGGAGCCCTCCTCACAGGGCATCTTTACATCAGTTTACAAAGAATCAGGAGTACTTCCCTGCAAGTCACTAATGTAATATTAAACCTCCAAACAAGTAATTGGAGACTATGGTTGGGGGAGTATAACAGCATTTTCCAATCTGCTTCCTGATTTTTTGTTTGGCAACTTAATATCTAGTTTTTACTCCAGAATTACAGCCATTTGGATGGTCTGATAAGCCACTGTTCCATGCACCTGTGGAGGGCTGCCAGCAAAAACAGGAAGTTAAAATAAGACAGACAGGCATATTGAGGGAGCTAAAATAAGAGAAAGGCTACTTTTTTCTGAGTGATGGCCTGCTGACCTTCCTCTGTCATTTACTCAGGTGAGCCAAACCCAGAACTCAAGCCATACTGCAAACTCAAGAAAATGAAGACTGTTGAATAACCAAGAACTGATATGGCTATTCAGTGAAGCTTCACAAGTTATGCTGTAGGTGGTTTTACTTCAAGATCCAGGTCAAAAAGAACCAACCAAAACAAGATCACATTACCTAATCTGTTTGATGGGTTCCTTTTAAACAACATTCTTAGAAGGCTTTGCGCTTCAGGGCTAAGGAATTGTGGCATTCCAAGCTTTGCTCTGGAGAAAGACAATGAAGAAATTATGACTTCAAAAAGCATGTTTTGCTAAAAACGCTCTAGATGGACTCATTAAACTGAGGGTAAGAAACTCTGCCATCAGATCTGTCAATGAGTGTCACAAGACAGTGGAATTGTGTGAACGAGATTTCAAATTGAATATAAATATTAAAATAGCTACCCATTCAAGAAACTTTTAGAAAAAAACACATAGTGTGGCATAGTGGTTTTCAACAAATAGGCTGCTTCAGACTAATGCTGCATAAAGTACTGAAAAGTTGTGTATCCCTGAAGAGATCTAAGTCTATCCAAACATGCTGGCATATGACAAACAGGAAGTATTCATCCTTTCCTACCAGAACCAACTTTTGAAGGCACTTGGAAAGAGCCAAAACGACCCCTGTAATCTACACAACCCCACAAGTCACCTTTTTATTCCTCCATTCAGAAAAAGCCTCAAGAATTAGATCATAAAGTCATTAGAGAAGGCCAAAGGGATCAACTTAATGGAGATTATTTTGTAAGGACAATTACTAAATTTAAAACAACTTTAGTGATTTGAACAATTTTATTAATAATCGAAGTGTCTAGTTCAGCCTGAAATTTCTAGGCAGAATTGTAACATTATGTTATACACACACATATTCATTTTGCTACAAATCCTGAAATAGGTGGTGAACTAATCTATCTTCTGCAGCAATGCTGCTATACATTAGCCACACACAGGGTTTAGTCCCTCCTGCCATGGAGTCAGGACTAAACCCCCTTTTCTTTAGCACCCATCCCCCTCAGAAAGTCCCAGAAGTCTAACCACATGAGCTGCAGGATACCCTTTGACTACTCATAAAAGCAATAAATTCTTGCTTCCCTCATTTAAAGAGTGGCAAGACTGTACAGTTAGGACTTGTTTACCAATCACCACTGTACACTTGTCTTACTATTACAACATGGATTAAACTATTTTATACAGAACGTGTGTGTATACACACGCTTGTACACAGAGAATAGCATACACACAATCTGTATAAAATAGGTTTTGTTTTTATATAAGCTATGTCGTAACACAGACAAACAGCATATAGAGAGGTTGTTGGCAAATAACTCTCTAGTGTACTTTACTGCCCCTATTTTTAATACTAACTTTACACACACACAAGTTTATGTTTACAGTTTTAAGCCTCAGAGATATTCTCCAGTATCCACATTGTTTGTGATCAAATTCTTACTTTTGTGTTTGACATTTTATAATTTCACATCCTGAAAATGAGCAAACTACAATACACAAGCTAAAGCATAATATCTATAGCTACATTTTGGGTTACTTTCAAAAACAAGGGTAATTCTATTAAAAAAAAGAGAATACTTACTTTAGTATCATATTCATAGTTTCATTTCGATCTTTACCTTGAAATGGTAGCGTACCAGTAAGCATTTCAAACTGAAAAGAACAAATGTTTAATCAACATCAAGTGGTTAATTTTTTTTTTTAAAAGTACTCTTACAAGATTTTAATTAAAATGGTATTTCACTTGTACTACACACACTAAGACCTGAGAAGTCTTCAGGGTGATTAGCAAATACATAGTAATTTTAATTTTTAAAATATCCAAAAGTTAAACATTTTCTCTTCAAAGGCAATTTACATGACAATCAATATCAACAGTAGATGGGATAAAAAGATGATGTAGAACACCTTGGAGGGCTTTACAGACTAATGGTGGTTCAGGGACCATAATTCAAAAGCTACTTGAGGAGTCAAATGGAATTCTCCCTGAAGTCATGTACTGCTACACCATAAAAAAGTAATCAAAAATTTGGTTTTTATTTTTCCTCCTAAGTACAAATGCTAATGGTGTAACAATTTACTATCCACAACGGCACATATATTAGTATTACTGGTGTATTCCACTTTTCTGTGTTGTTCATTCAACAGGCTTGCTGTTAAACTTTTTTTTTAAAGGAATGCTTTGTCAAACTCAGTTTTTTTGTTTTTTACTAATAAGCTATATGTCAAAGAAACATTCCAACTGAAGCCTTACAACAACCTAGGAAAGTGACTGAATAAAATTGTTCTGGACTGCTACAAAGTCACGTATATGTTAATAATCCTTAGAGGTATGCATTTCCTTAAAGGTCTAAACAAGTCAAGGTTCGACTTATTTCAAAACTATTGTTTCTTCAGTAGTAATCTAGTTACCAGCTTCTCCCAGGTCTTCCCCTCAACCTAAAGTCGTCCTAATTCTATTTAGGCAGTTTATTCTAAATAAATTTAACATTACTCTGTGGAGGCATGCAGACTATTTGACTGCAAACAACATTATGCAATTAATCATACAGTACCATAAGAACACCAAATGACCACCAATCGGCACTCTGGTTGTGGCCTCGCCTGTTTACTACTTCAGGTGCCATGTATTCTACAGTACCACAGAAAGAGTAGGCCTTCTTTTCTTGATCTACTGATTCTTTGCTGAGTCCGAAGTCTACAACAACAGCATTACAAAGATATATCTAGTAAAGAACTTTAAAAGCAATATTTTATACAATAATTTTATATTTTGGATTCACACAACCAAAGACTGTTTATGAATAACGAAATGGTAATCCTAAAGCTCACTGGAGAATGAGAGTTAAATAGTGCATTACACAATCTATTGTACTGTGCCAGGAACAAGTGAACTGAAAGTCTCAGCGACCATTATGTTGCTTAGTTTTTCTGCAATTAGGTATTTAAAACTTTACATATTTAGAACCTTAAAATTATGAAAGGTTCTACATTTATATTTCTTATTTGCTGAGACTTTGCTGCTTGCTGTATAGGATGGAAAAACTAGATTTAAATGAGAATGCTTCATCATAGAAAACACCAAACTACAAAGGCCATGTCTATACTTACAAGCTTGCAGTGGCACAGCTGTACTAATATAGATGTGCCGCTGTAAGAGCCCTCGTGTAGTCTCGTTATCCCAAGGGCAGAGAGCTCTCCCGACAACATAATGAAACCAGCCCAACCCGCGGTGGCAGCTATGTCAGCAGAAGAGCGTCTCCCACCAACACAGTGCTGTGCATATGAGCGCTTATGCCGGCAAAACTTATGTCGCTCCAAGGGGTGTTTTTTTTCACACCACTAAGCAATAGAAGTCTTGCCGACGTAACTGCTGGTGTAGTCACGGCCTTAACTTACGAAAACAGCTTATGTAAAAATCAGACTTAAGGTATTTCTACACTTAAAATGCTACAGCGGCACAGTTACACCACTGCAGTGTAGACGCTCCCTTCGCTGACAGGAGAGAGTCTCCCATCAGCATAGGTAATCCACATCCCTGAGAGGCAGTAGCTAGGTCAAAAGAAGAATTCTTCTGTTGACATACCACTGTCTACACCAGGGGTTTACTACTGCAGATATATAGAAGTTTGCCAAAGTCAGACTTGTTTATATCAAGCACGCCTCTCAGTTCTCCTTTCCATTGTAAGAAGGAAAATGGAATTTTATAAGTGCTTGTTCATTCAAAAAGCTGCCTTACAAGCAGCTTCAAAATGCTGATGGGAAAACAAAGCCTCAAAGAATTACAAGAGGTTTTTTCCTTTGGACCCAAGTTGAAACTGAATTTAAGTATTGATGTACCCTGCAAAACAATATAATCTTGTAACCCTAATTTCTCACTACCCCCCACCCTCCCGACCCCACTTTCCCACTAGTCCCTGCACTGTGAAAGCCCCAAATGGCTAAGGTGTTTAAAGGTGGTCTGGAAGGAGAAGTTAATCTAAATTAAATCCCTCAACTGGGCATTTCAAGAGAAGCAGAAAGCAAGAGCGAAAACCGCTCAGAGGCTGAAGGAGTCCAAGAGAATGGTATCCAGAAATCAATAATATTGTATAGGGATTCAAATCCCTGTTGTTGCCTAAGAGTCTAAAGCAAGTCTGAAACAAAAACACATCCTGTAGTGCTTTTAAATAATGAATATCCAGTAATTCTGTAATCTAAGCAAAGCCCATTTGGCTAAAAGTTCTATCAGAAACAATAAAAGATTACAAGTAAAACTATTGTGTATATTGTGTACATTGCACTAAATGGATGAGAGTTTAAATAATGAATCTCTTTTTAATCTTGCAAGGTGATTCTAATAGCTGTTAATATTTATACAGCACAGCATATAGTGAACTTCATGATATAATCAAAATGGTTACTTTACTATAATTTTAATATGGTAATATAATTTAAGAGTAAACTAGTTCACACTTTGTACTTATCCCAATGTTTATAATGCAAGTCTTGTTGGTGAACTTTAATTTTCCAAAAGAAAATAGCATTATTTTTTCTTGTAATACAGAATTTTTCTACACCTTTGTTTTTAAACTGATTAGACTATAATTTCTGAAATCACATTTTATATTTTTTAAAGAACATGTTGTCTGCACTAAATCTTTATCTTCCTTAAAAGACCGAGTCAGCATATTGACATTTCAGCTTTGCTGAACATCTGCCTTGCTCAATCGCATTAGCTGTTGATCTTCAGATAAAGAGACATTTTATAATCAACCATCATATAAGCCACTTAAACCTGAACAGTAGTTTATTTCTGTTATTGATGAAGTGTCATCTGAATTTATTTACCTTATTTTTAAAAATGAAGTAGCTTTCAATGTCTATTTTATAAACATTAATTTCTAGAACCACTTTACCCACAGAAATTAACCTTTACAGTGGTTTTTGGTTTTAGGTTTAACATAAATACGATGGCTCCAATCCTGCCATCTAATCCACGCGGGAAGATCTCACTCACGTGGAGTCACACTAACTTCAATGGGATTCTGCCGAGGCATAATAGTCTGCTAATGTAGATCAGACTGCACAATCTAGGGCTATATCAGTTAATTTAAAAAACTGTTAAATTAAGTACTGGTATATCAAGATTGTTATACAAGAAATGCAACTCCATACTAAAATACCTAATTTCATTAAAATATTTGTAATTTCATGAAAATATTTAAGAGCTATACTATTAAATTTTACCTACCTGTTAACTTGATATGTCCTGCTTCATCAAGCAAAATGCTGAAAATTAAAATTCACATTCACCAATACACGTAACAGGAATATTTATATATAACAATTTAAACATAGTAGCTAAAGACAGATCTCAACCAATCTCCCAATCTTTAATTTAAGAACTCTGTACATTATATTGCAATCAGTGCATATATTTAACTATTAAACCCAATACATATAGCTTATAAAAACATTTTACTCCATTTTTATAGAATTATAGAGATGTATAATGAAAATGCAAAGAAGCAATTAAACAAAATACATGTAATAGTGGATAAAATAAATTTTACTTTACTTTTCTGGCTTCAGATCCCTGTATACAATCCCCAAGCTGTGTAGATGATCCAAAGCAAGGGCCAGTTCTGCGAGGTAGAATTTCACATCTTCCTCTGTAAACATAACCTAATAAGAACTGTATAGATTTACCTTCAGATCTTGTCAGTTTCTAATACTGCAATCTAAAAACAGACAGTTCTTCTGCTTCCCTAAATTCAAATATTTCTCATAACTACTACATTTCACAAATTCTCAGGAGACAATTTCACTTAATACAGATGATATGCAAGAATAAACTATAGACTATGAAGTTTTCTGTAGATCTAACCCTGAAATTATTTTAGTGTTCCTCACAATCCAGCTCTTAAAGAATTAAAAGTAAAAATAAATGTTATTGCAACTGTAAGGTAGCATAATTAAAGGAAAGTTAACTTTTGTATCTGCCTTGCTGGTTTACCAGTATTCATTCAGCCACAGTGCCCTATACAGAGCATTTCCTATTCCTGTTTTTCCAGTTTAACATGTAGTTTGATGTACTATTGCTTACAATAGTATAAAATATACAGGATGTGTAATTGTAACCTTAAAATTTTATATTTCCATTTTATAGTTTTCAATTGAGTGATGTTAACACTATTAAGACTTATTAAGTTTCCTTCTAAAAAAGGAACTGCTTGTTCCTAAAGTTAAGTTCATACTTCACTGAGGTGAACGAGGTTGAAGAGTGGACAGAATCTGCACATCATTTACATGAACAGAGATGCATTCAAACCTTTTCTGCTCCCTTTTTTGGAGGGGGGGGTTTGAACATTTTGCTACAAGGTTGGGCTGAACAGCAACGGTACATCTTTACATTTTGTTGTATTTTGTCAATGGGAAAAAAAATGAGATCCAGGAATTTTCTTCTTTAGTTTGCCTGCCTCTCTCCCTTATCACCATGGCTTTTCATGTAAAAGAGCCAAGGATGATAGGGCAATGTCTCTACCTATTCCTCCCCACACTGCCCCCTTCTCCTCTCTTTGGTGTAACAGAAGTAGAGATGTTCTCTAGCAGCCCAGAGATTATTCACTCTCCTTATTCTAGACCTGCTTCAATACATTCTAAGACTTTCAGGTATTTAACTTGCGCAAAAAATCACAGCAGCAGTGTTGACAACTCATGATATTAAGTCTCATGGTATTTGTTGTTCTTCTCAAAGCCCTGGCTCCTCGAGTCAGGAGATTATGTGAAAATCTCAGCTTTCATTTAAAAACAAGTTTGTAGCCCAACTAGTTGTAGAAAAAAGCTCTCTCTCTCTCACACACACACACAAATTTATTTGTGTGTATCTGTGTCGCTCTTCCTCCAGCCTCCCTTTCTCACTCTCTGGATATATCATTTTCAAATGCTTTGGTAATACTGTAATAGGTTTATATTTTGTATGCACACCATTTAGACAGTCTCTGCACAGACAGAAATTAGTCTGGGGGAGAACTATTTCAATGGCCATGATTCTCCACTGCATCACAGGGGATGGGGTGGAGGAGGCGGTGGGATTCTCAAATGATCATCTCTGTTCACTTTGTGCAACTTGGCCTATTAGACAAGAAATTCACATTCTAAATGCCACATATAACCCAGGAGACTTGAACATATATTCAATTGTATCTAGCCAAATGTTACACCAGGGGAGGTTAGTAGTGCCTAGACAAGAAGCAGGGAGATTGAGGGAGTTAGTTAAATAAAATAAGGAACAACTAGTCACATATGTGGGGTACAGATAAAGCATTGCTTTACCTATATACAATGCCATGTACGCTAGCTGGTTGACCCTGCATGACTGGGGCCTAACCAGGACTGAGAAAAATATATTTGCCCTCAGTAACAGAGTGAGTTCTCCCTTCTGCTCTCACTACTTGCTGTTCCTTTCACTCACCTTTCTTCACTTAGTTACACATTATTTTACCATTTTAACATGCTGGTACCATATGGCCACACAGACAATCATTATCTGAGGAAATTATAACATAACCAGTAATAACTTCAAGCATTTTGGAGGTCTATATTCTTAGAATATTTTATTTAGGTCTTTAAAACCTCAAATTATATTCCAAGATGAACTATTCTCCATTTGCTGAAATCATTGAGAGTACAAAAGGAGCGTAGAAACTTTGTTCATTTAGTCTCCTTATATAGGACTAGTTAGTCTTGTATAAACGGTGTTGATTAAGTAATATACATCAACATTTGGAACTATGAATACAAGATGTACTCTTATTGCTGAACAGCTCTGCTCAAGATTAAGAAATATTCCTAATTTGCACAGCGCACAGGTATTACTGTAGTTTGTCATGTCAAAGTTATATGCAACAGAAATAATAAAAGAATGAATTAAGAATGAAGTACAATGAACAAAAACGACTGTTACAGTCCAAAGACACAAGGGAAGTTTCCAAATCTCCAAATACAATTATTCTAATTATTACTTTGCAACCTAACAAGATTGCACAAATTCATTTTAAATACGATTTCCCCCAAATTAAATGTGGTAAAAACAAATTGCATTAAGTTTTACTTCTGAAGGGAAAGCTGCAGTAAAAGTGCTTTATTGGATGGATATCAGACATTTTCTGCATTGCAGCGGAAAAAGTCCCATACATTAGAATTTTAAAGACCAAAATTAACACTTAAATATCTTATTAACAGCTAAACATTCAAAAACAATTTCAAATATGCCTGATAATCCATGTGTGGGATGGTTTCAAGTGGCCCTAGGAACCGACCCCCCCCCATTGGCCTGCGTCATTCACTTTCCATTGCCATGTGGTATTGCAATAGAAAACAGTGTTTTTAAAACTATTGTGTTTTCTTTATAGAAAACATCAGGTGTTTTTTAATATACAAAATTAAAAGTTTTAAAAAATCATGGTACTTCAGAAATAATCTGAAGTTTGTTGAAAACCAAATATAAACTTGAGTAATAAGTGACCTCAAAATTATTGCTTATTTCTTTACTCCTAAAAGAGAGATTTCTCTCTTTTTCAGATACCCAGCCAATATTTTTACAGCCAGATTTGCACCCTTCATTTAAGTGTCTATTTTGGAGGATCCATATATTCTAGCTGCACTATCACAACAAGACCTGAAGTCATTTCCTATTATACTGAGATTTCTTAAGGGAGACATCTCAGATCAAATGGAAATAGAGATTGACCACTTTCCTGGTTTATGCCTCATTCATTCTTAACAGGTCTGCTGACTCCTACAAATAGACAACTCTCTCAATATTTTCATAGCACAGCTACAGGATATTTACATTGAGTTTAGTTGTGAAATACTGAAAGATCACTATTGCAAGCTAATAAAACGAGTTCAATGTAATTTTAGGGCATATACTAGGTATATGTTCCCTGACCCATCCTCAATATGTAGCTTGACTTTAGGAAACAGATGCACTGAGAAAATCCAGCTCATTGGTTCTTAAAGCTTAAGGATACTAATTTGAAACAACTACTGACAATCTATTTCACATCAGCCAGCTAGTTTGCCCAATTTTAGACAATGTCCTCTGTTAGACATTATCAAAAGGAATGTCTTGAAATCATATGGAAGTAGATTTAAAATGAGAAACAGACTCGTGAAATTTATGAAGCACTAAAAACTCTCATTACGAAGATATTTTCAAAAGTTTAATTCAACACCTAGAATTTTTACAGAAAAGTTTTGAAAAACAGAATATTTCTTAGCTTGGAATATTACAAATACCATTATAGTCCACATGCAATTTCACAGACTGACAGATTTAAAGACATGTCATCAGAGTAGCACAATTAGCATTCCTCCCCAAACAAGCAATAGTGAGCTGTCAATCAAGGTTGTGATTTCTCCAAAATTGGGGGCAGGGGGAAAGGAGGGGGGAGAAAAGTATTTTACCTAGAAAAAAAATATTCGATTCAAGAAACTAAACACTAAAATGATTCAACAGACTCAGGGGCAGCTAAACTGACATCAAACTCTAATCACACCTGTGTTCTTTATTATATAAACCTGATTTACTTCAACTAGGTCTTTATGCAACAAGACCACTTTTAGATTAGAGAATTTGGTATGGGGAGGTACAAAAAAGAAATTTTAGGCCAATTATCAGTAAAAGTTTGACACTGAGGTTTCTTAAGCGATGGAATATCGTCCCAAGGGATGGATATTATTATAATATATATATTTTTTAGGAGTTCAGTTGAACTTTCACATATATATATAAGTGAAAGTTCAACTGAGCTCCTAAAAACAAATGGGTCAAGAATTAGAGAAAAAGACAAAAGGAACAATCCAATATTGGTAGGGGGTTAGACAAGGATGTCATTTTCCAGCTCTAATTTCTTTGCGTCTTTGAACCAATTTTTACTATTGTATTCAGTTAAAATGTAGGTACTTACCTCTTTGGATAATCGCGTGAATACATCTCCTCCCCTGAGAAAATCCAATATTAAATATAGCTTCCCTTCGGTCTGAAAGGCTGATTTTAAAACATCACAAAACTTAATGGATAGTTTTATATGACAATGGTGAAATTAGACAAAATACTCAGGCATTCTATAATACTTTTTTACGGCTTTTATTTTAGCGTAATAGAGCAGTTGCTTCTGAACTGAGGTAATTCAATTAGGCATGAGAGCCTCATATGAGCTACTGAAATCTGTGAACTAACCTGAATAATTAACACCACACGAATACTGCATCAAAATGTACTATATTCATTTATTTGAGAAATGTAATTTAGTTTTATTCATTTTGTTAATACTTTGTACAGGGAAGTTTGCAAAAAGTAACCATTACTAATATATTACAAAGTGTTAGTGACAAGAGATCTCACTACAGCACTGCCGTTCTATTACATCTTTGCTAAGCATGGGGAGACCCCCCCCAGTATTTGTACAATAATTATGTTTTTAATTATTGATATGGGAATTAATGAGGTTCTACTATAATAAAATTTGCCCACAAGTTGTTAGGACTTAACACAACAATTTGAAAAATTAAGAGTTTCGGAATTCAAACAAGTCATCCACGCACCACCACACCCACTGGTGTGCCAATCTCAGTTTTTATATTGGACTAATATTATTGTACCTAAATTATTACAAAGTATTGGTTTTAAAAATGGAAAAACAATATCTGTGGGACATTTTCCAAAAGCTGTAGGAAGTCTTTGGGGAGCTTAAGAATAGTAAAGGCATTCAAAAATAATGAAAATGTTATATGACTGTGATGGGGTATTGTATTCCTCATTCTGGTTCTGAGAAGGTTGAATTAGGCCAGGCAGACCCAACCAACCAATTAAGCACCAAGTCACGAAGAAGAGGCTGTGGTTACTGGAGCAAGAGGGGCCTTCAAGGTGAGAAAAGACGACTGATAGGGACACCGCCAGAGGAGGGCAGAGCTAATCCCCAGGACTGCCACGAGGAGGAGCCACTAGCAGTAAGTGGACCCCGTGGCAATGGTGTACGATTGAAAAATGAACAAGGGATCAGATTCTGTGTGACTTGCTCATATATATGTACAGTGAATGGGAGAAGCACAAGAAGCCTCTTACTCCAACCCCTTGCACTGCCCATTAAAAGTCAAGTAATTACATTTTAAACTTAGTGATACATTTTAAACAGGGCCTGCCAATCAGATTCTAAAAGGACATTCATTTTTCACTTCTGGTCAAAAGCTTTCTACCTGCAGTTGGTAAAAAAATACTAAATGAAAGGTAAGATAAAAGCACCATTTTTCCCCCTCCCGTTTGTTTACATTTAACTGCACTTTGTGCAGAGTCTGTTTCAGTTTTTCCCCATAAAGTTAGTCAACTTCCACTTTTGTTTGTTACAGCAACAAGGGAGAAAAATATTTTAAATAAGAAAATTATACTATAAAAATTGACTGGGGGGAGGTATAACAACTGAAACCAGGCTTAACTTTTTTTTTAAATTGAGTGGATTTCAAGTTGATTGTGTCTCTCCCTATAAAGAAAACAAGTTGGAAGTAGGTGGGGTGAGGAAGAGAAGCATTTCAGCCAGTTAAAGACATAGGATGGCAGTGCTTGAAACCTCTGCCAGTGGAGAAACAACAAGACCAACAGCAGAATTCAGGTCTAATGAAACTTTCAAAAATAGGATTGTGGGGAGAGTCTGATGGACTGTGAATGAGAAAATAAAGAAGCAAAAACGGAGGAAAACAGAAGCCAGTGACCAAAAAGGGCTATAATATAGAGGTCAGGATCCCGATAATACATGCCCGATAACTTTTCAAAGGTCATGAAAATCTATTTCTTTTAAAAAGATTAAGATAAATATTTTCATTCTTCAGTCTTATCAAGGGAATCTTTTTTTTTTTTTTTTTACTATACATGGTCTATTTAGATGTTTTCTTATGTGCATGTTACCATTTTACTATGTGAAGATGTTAATTGTTTATAAATCTATCATATGCTTTTAAAGTATTATAAAAAGGTAATTATGTTTTCTTGATTAAGTGCTTAGGAATTGTTTAATGTGTGTTAAATTGATCACGTGCATGTTTTATTTAATGTACTCTTTAGTCTCTTGGGAAAAGCACTATCCTGATCTGAACTACATTGGAACAGATATGCACATACATGAGAGAAATATATCCCTGAGAGGTCTGCAATTCACCTTAAGATGTGTTCATATCTTACAGAAGAAAACTCAGACAAAAGGCCTAAATGACAAGACTCTACACCATGCACAGGCTGTCAGTATAGAATGGACTAGGCAGATACTTTGACACAGAGTGAGATGTAACCATAATAGTGAAAACTGAGATATGCTCTGTAATTATAAAAGGAATGTTTACATAACTGAGGGTATAGCCAAACCTCTCAAGGCAGAAAATACTGGTTCTGTTAAACTCTGCAGAGATTAATGCTTCAGAAAGGCTGGATTGATGTTTATCTGTTAATGTCACTTTTTTCCAGAAAATGTCCTTAGTTACATACTGGAAGGTAGAAATTACGAGTCATCTATGCCTAGCTTTCACATTATCTGTACCTGCTTACAATAACTGTTAACAAAAATAAGGCAGAAGAAGATTACATTTGACGTGCTTAATGAAAACTAGGTTTTAGAGCAAATCCACTCCAACTATTAAGAAAGAGATGACTAATGCCCTTAACATGCTAATCCTGCCAAAAATATATAGGCAACAGAACAAAAATACCAACCATAGTGCAGTTTGACGATAAATGGATGATTTACTTCTACTAATATATCTCTCTCCATCTTTGTACGAACTCGATCTCGTACTGAAAAAAAGCAGAATACTAATAAATAATCCTCTATTTCAGTAAAGTGAAGGTAGGACAGGAAGGAATAGATAGTAAGTTCTAAATATCCAGAGAAATATAAAATAATCTTTATTTACCCTTTAAATCATTTCTTTTTATTTTGAGATATTACATTTTTCCCTCTTACCACTATATATTTTAACCTTTCTAAATTCTGCAACAAATCCAGCTATATTTAGTGATCTAGCAAGTTTCTTTTCAAAAATCGTAAAAAAGTTGGGGAAGGTTGGGTTGTTTGGTGGTCAGGTTTTGTTGTTTTTTTCTGGGGGGGGGGCTTCAGCTAATTTCAACTTCTAGATTCTGCCCCCGTGAATATGTATTGTCTATTAAGATCATATTTTGGATTTTCTAGCAGTAACACTTCATGACCAAATGTAACCCACAGTGGAGTAGAGTCCAGTGATGTGTCTTGTAAAGACAGAAACACCTTATAATTTGGCTTACTTTGACTTCCCCAATAAAGCAGGGTTGACTCAAAACTTGACAAATGAACAGTTTTGACCAAATTAGAACCATGGAAAATACAGGAAAACTGTTTATCTGTAATTCTCTTGTTGTAATAAAAAAAATGTTAAATGGACTTACAGAAGGTTAATATTAAAAAAAACCTGAAGACATCTGGACAGGTTTGAAATAAATTCTTAAGGCATGGCCTCAAAAAGGTTAATTAAAAAAACTGATGTCAAAGAAAGAATTATGACTTCACTGAAGGAACAGCTTGTTTAAGACAGAGGGCTATTTAATACAAAAATATTGACAATACTGACTTCAACACAGGAAGTATTTTCCAAGACCATTATAAAGAAAACACACTTACCTTTCAGAGAAGCTTTTTTCAATACTTTCATTGCATAAAGCTGCTCAGCATCAGGACCAATTATTTTCCTCACAAGAAAAACCTGACCCAAAAAATATTTTATATTTCAAATTATTGCTAAAATTGTTATATATAACAGTGATTTAGTTTGAACAAAAAGTTATCATGGTCTGTTTTAGTATGAGGAAAAGAGAACAGACTGCACCAAATCATAGCCTCCATAGGGAAAAACTAAAATAATGGGGGTAGGGGCAGAGAAAATCAGCAGGTTTTCACAGTACACCATTTTTTTGAGAAAGCAATTATTAAATCCAGTAAGGGACTATGAGATCTTCTTTTGGTTGGATGTAGGAAGGAGCACCAGATGCTAGGACACACACACACACCCCTGTGCAGGCAGAGCAACAAAAGTAATTGCACTCTCACCTCCACAAGTAACCGGATTGCAGGTGGTAGAAACCCCTAGGGTTCCTGAAGTAGCTAGACCCGGGTTCTAGGCACTCTTCAGTTTTTCTACAGAGATCAGCTTAAATTAATGCTTATAGAATGAATATTAACTTACATGCCACGTACCTGCATATTTTACACTAGTGTGTTAGGAAAGGGCAGCATGTCAAACAGGTGTCCCTAGCTCTGTCTCCTTCCCTACAAATGCTATGTAACCTCAAATACATAATCTCTGAAGTTGGAGTGTGAGAAGAAGGGAGTGGGGAAATACACCATTTAAGATCAAGGCCCTGCACCTTGGGGGAGGAGGGGGTGCCACTACAATTTTTCCCCTCAGTCTGCTTAAATTTGGAGAGTATGATCTTGCAGAGTAACAAATGTGATTAGAAAAATCGATTGCTACGGATTATGTGCATTTCCATACTACGAGCTCTTCCAGCGTAACTACTGAATTACCATTTCTAATACATTTCAATGGAGCAAACTTTTACTACATCATCATAACATTAAAGTCCAATCATAGGTTTAAAAGTATGCTAACAAAAACCTGAGGTTCAAAAGTCTTTTCATTCTTATATTTATTTCCAGATTTTCAACACTAGAAGCAAAAAATGTTACCACTCTGTTTATGGTTTTAACTAGAAGCGGTTAAATAAAAGTATACCATATATACTCGTTCATGAGCCAAATTCTTTTAGTAAAAAAGAGAAGCACCAGAGAAGGGGGTCAGCTTATGAACGGGTATAGAGAGGGGAAATAGGTCCTTCCCCTCGCACTTGCGCCTCAACCACGCACCTCATTTATGCTCAATTATTTGAGCATAAGCTTTCGTGAGCTACAGCTCACTTCATCGGATGCAGTGAGCTGTCTCTAAGGTGCCACAAGTACTCCTTTTCTTTTTGCAAATACAGACTAACACGGCTGCTACTCTGAAACCTGCCAGAAAGAGTGAAGGAGACAGCTTTGGGAGGCATGAGAGAGACAGTTCTCACACATACAGGTGACAGCTAATAGCCAGAATGATGACACCACAAAGAGGGAGAAGAAATAGAGGGAAAATAGAAGGAAGAAAATGGAGAAGGCAAAGATGAAGAGAGCAGGGGAGAGAAAACATTGAACCACAAAACAAAAGAAAGACCTAATCAGAAAAAAACTGAGTGGAGAGAGAAAAATATTGAGATATAAATAGTACTGAAAATTAGTGAACATGAGTGAAACAATGAACCCTAAAGACCACTGAAGGAACAAAAGACAACACATTGTGGACAGGGAAAGAAAAAGAAAAAATATACGTTACTTTATTTTTATAGAAAGACTGCTTTATTCAATGCTTTAATCAATGATTTTATGGTGGTTTGGCTGTTTCCAATAAGACAAAATTTAGAAGTTCTCACAGATTTTGGATGCAGAGGCCAACAACATTTCCCTGTAATTTTAACCCAGAAATTGACAGATGTAGAGTAATAGCTTCTCACCTCCAATCCATGCCTCTTACAGCTTCGCTTCCCTCTCTACAAGAGGTCCCACTACTGAACTAACTGCTCATTCACCCACTGAAACTTCATCCTTAAATCATCACTGGACACATCCTTGATCATGTGTGCATCACAGTCCAAAATATGATTAAAAAGTTCTAGGAATTTGAGGATAAAGAGACTTAATATCGTAGGCATAATACTGAACTAACAACTCAACCAATTTTGTGACTGTATAGTTATTTGCCAGTGAAACTAGACAATTTTAATTTTCCCAAGTCAAATGAGGTCTACTCTGAATAGTTTTCTGCACTGCCAAGTTTCTCATGCAGTGCTTATAACTAACACAAGGACACCTGAAAAAAGTTTTAACTCTGAGTTTTACACTTCTAATGTGAAGTGCAACAGAAGAAAGTTTAACTTCAAAAATAATATTTTTAAATCAGTTCTATATCTATCTTTATATTTATTTTTCAATTAAATCAGGTATAAAGTTTTTAAGGTCTTGAAGCTCTATTTGGATAAGAATTCAATTCTGCATTTTGAAAATGACCTCACCCAGCCATCACTGAAGAAGAACAACTAGAGCCTGGGGTTTTTTCACAAAATGCAAAAACACAACAATTAAAATGAAAAACTCACCCCACAGCAGCGGCCCCTGAGTCTCCTGTCCCACAGCGCTGGGCCCAGCTCCAGCCATTACAACCTGGCACAGGGGACTGGAGCACCACTGAGGTTTGGCCCGTCCACCTCCCTCTGTCATGACCCCCAGACAGGGCCTCCACTGTGCCCCCCCCCGGCCCCTTCCCACATACTCCTGAGGGCAGAACCTGACCCCCCCGGTGAGAGGAAAATGGATACAACCAAATAGCAAAACACTCCCCAAAATAAAAAGAATTTCACAGAACTCTAAGTATAACCTTGGTGGTTAAAGCAATAATTAGTACTGAATTCTATCAGATGCCTCATCACTCTGTAGGCCTACGGACAGTGATCAGAAAAGCCTTGTATCAATTTCTGAGGGCCAATATATCCACATTCCTTTCCTACACAGGCCCAGTAGCAGTTGCATGTGCATTTGTCACCTTAGGACTTGATTACTTCAACTTACTGCATATAAAGTTGCTCAAAGGCTTAGGAAGCAATAATCTACCCTCGAATACCAGAGCTAGAGAACTAGACATCTGTCAGAGTAACTTGGGTGGCTTCAGTAGTCCCTCACTGATGAGCACTGCAAGATGTCCAGGCATGGAGGTGTGTAGGAGGTCTAAGAGCTCGTGCAACTTTCCCTGGACAACTTCCAACGGAATCTCAAATGTACCTGTCATTCTGCATAGCAAATTTGTCTGTAAGGTAGATATTACATGTACCACCCCTCATCAAGAGGTAGCAACAAGACAGGTGCTGGGATGGAACAGTCCTCCACCTGTAAGTCCTCATCAGAGCCCTGATCATCCCACACAGTCAACACCACGGCAGCATGAGCTGACAGTGGAGTGGACAGTGGGGAAGGGGTTCTAGCTCTGGACTGGGGTGCAGAAGCTAGTCTTCTGGCTTGTAATCTCCATAGTGCTCAATAAGGCCATAGGTTCCAGTAAGTATAGGGAGAAGGAGGCCATGGGGCGGAAACCAAGGAATAGTACCAATGGGATAATAAAAAAAAAATTCGTCCTAGATTCTCACTCTGAGGTGTAAGGGTTTCAATACCTAGACCACAGAGAATGTACTGGAGACTCCTCGTTGCTATTATCTGAGCCTGAGGAAGAGATGCACTCCTCCCCTTGTGGGGCTGGAGCTTGAGTAGTTGGGAGCACACTCAGGCTGTGCTCGGTACTAAGCTTGGGGTATCAGACCATACCTTTATTACCAAAAACAGTGCCCAGTACCAAAGAGGCCATAAAGTAAGGCTATGATTTTGTCATGGAGGTCAGGAAGTCACCGATTCCGTGACTTCAGCCCCCAGGGGTAGCCCTGCCACCCTCAGCCTACGCGGGCAGCAGGGGAAGCCCCACTACCTCTGGCCCAGGGGGAGTCCGCAGCTCTGAGCCGCGGGTGGATGGGCACCGTGGAGCTCCGAGCCGGCCCCACAGCTGCCCAGCAGCTTCCCATTTTCATAGAAGATCATATAGTCCAACCCCCTGCTCAAAGCAGGACCAATCCCCAATTTTTGCCCCAGATCCCTAAATGGCCCCCTCAAGGAATGAACTCACAACCCTGGGTTTAGCAGGCCAATGCTCAAATTCAGGGACAGGTCTTAATTGCCCGAGACCTGTCTGTGACTTTTACTAAAAATATCCGTGACAAAATCTTCACCTTAGCCATAAGATCCCTTGATATCACACAGGTTTCAGTATCAAGTACATTAGTGCTGCAGGTGGGCAAATGTAAGGTGCCTGTACCAGAGATATCAGTAACAGGGGCTTCAATGCAAGGGGTTTGTACCTGGTAATTTCTGACTCAGTGGAGAAGTTGGTCCCAGTGTTCTGTGACTGATGCCTAAGTGGGCAGCATAGGGTCCCTTCTTGGGCCTTGAACTACTCTTCTCAAATGTAATTCAAGGGTATTTCTAGTTTCTTAAGGTAGGACCCAGTGATGGAGGTCTAGACCTCTTCCCCTTAGAGATTTAGTCCTCCTTCCTCCCCCCAACCTCTGAGGTTTTAGCAGCTGTGGAGGATGATTCTTTACAATTTCCTGTCTAAGATATAAAACCGAGGAGTACTTGTGGCACCTTAGAGACTAACACATTTATATGGGCATAAGCTTTCGTGGGCTAAAACCCACTTCATCAGATGCCCAAATAAATCTGTTAGTCTCTAAGGTGCCACAAGTACTCCTCGGGTTTTTTTGCTGATACAGACTAACACAGCTACCACTCTGAAACCTGTCTCAGATATATAAGCCTAAGAGCCAGTGGAAGCACTCTGAGGAGGAATAGTCAATATTTTCACCCCCAGCTGCTTCAGGATCTGAAGAGAAGCGCAATGATCTATCCAGACACAACAATTCTGAGCAAGACTTTCGACTTTTGAGTTCTTTGAGAATGATTTACAAATGGCACTTCTTTCTTGTATGTACCCCTCACCATGTCACAATAAGCACCTCATACGTCCATCAGAAAGAGTCATTTTTAAGCCTGGAGGTGTGCATTCAGTCATAACGATAGGATCCCAGTACCAGGAAGTCTCACAGACAAAGAAAAGGGCTGCTTCTTATAGTAAGAAAGGAAACAAGTGAAAAATAGCTCAACTAATCCTTTCTATTTACAATACAATGGATAGATCACAGTGAGGGAGAAACTCACTGGTGGTTCCAACTCATAGCCACAGTAGGGACAAGGAACTAAGAGACAGCTGTGGTCACCCCACCCTTTATGCTCTCAGATGGAAGGCACAAGGACACTCAGGGAGCAGGCGTGGCCCCAAACAAATACTGCTGACCAAATGAATCCAAACTCAAGTTCATGGGGTGCAGATGCTCAGATATTGCAAAGTGGACAAATTCACATTTTTGGTCAAGGAGCATCTGCAACAAAAATCTTTTCAGCAGTGAAATGTTTCATGGTACAGCATTGTTCTAACAGAGTCAATTTAGAAAGTTGGCCACACTCCTGGTTTAAATATTGCATATTGTAAAAAGTTAAGCCCACACAACATCCAACCAGATGACACCTCATGTATGCTGATGTAATACCTAACGAGCAAGTTAAGGACATGTCCCAACAAAGGACTGAAGTCAACATGACAACACCCCATAGCATCCCCCATTTAAGGCTGAAACATGTTTCTCTGGTCCATGCTGTATTCTATTAATAGTTCTTTCCAAACTCTAATTAAAACCCGCTTTCTCAATCTATTGTTTAATGTCATTACCTTCCTAACCCACCTGTCTGTGTGGGGCTATCACATACATAGAATAAAGAAACATTTAAAATGTGGAAGAGATGGACTTAAGAGAAAAGAATTGGCTAAACAACAATTCAGGGGGTACATATGACAGGTCAAGCATATATAACGTATGATTGTAAAAACACCCAACGGGTATAATTAAGAGTTATGGAATAAAAGTGAGAAGGGATCATTTATGCTGAACTTCACAGGAAGCTTCTTGACAGATCTATTGGGCTGTGAAGTAGTCTCCCAAGGAAAGTCTCAATGCATAGGTCAATTAAAGCTAGACTGGACAAAGCACTAGTAAGTGCACAACAGGGAATAATCCTACATTAGCAGGGAGATTGAGTAGATAAAAGACTTTTCCCATCTCTCACTTGTGAGAAAATATGTACTCCACATTTAGAGACAGTAACTGTGGAACAGGATAAAGGAAACTTGCCACAAATATCAAGTGATACTATATACCCTTCCACAAGAGTTTTATCCTCCTCATGTGACATGGCTAAGTAAATGAACCCCACCGTACATCTCTTCTGCAAGAAACTGACAATTGATCTCAGCATGGACAGCAGGAAGAATGGAGTGGAAACACTGGTCTTAGTTAGACTTAGTTATAGCAACAAAAAGGGTAAAGAATGTCTAAAGGACAAGCAAGTTCAGGTTAATAGAGGGCTACTGGGTGCAAGGTTTAAGTTTTCTAATACTGTCACCTCCACATAAGAACTTACAAGTCAGGGAATAACATCCTCAAAAACAAGCCAATTTTCACAGGTGTGTGTTTGTGGCTTATTAGGCCTCTAAAAACCATGTCGGCCTTCTCTAACTCAGTCTCAAACTGCTGACAGTAACCTGTTTCATCAAGATTAAGAATGTTTTTGTATTATTCTGCACCCAGCCTTGCAGTCCTGTTACTTATAGGAAAATTACCCTTGACTTTAATGGGAGTTTTGCCTGCATGAGAACTGCAAGATTGTGCTCCTAATGCTAAGGATAAACAATATGGTGATCAAAGGGAGAAATTCATGTCCTGCTTCACAGGCAGAGTTGCAACATACAAAGGCCTCAAGAATCCATCAGTACCCAGTGACACTGTAAACTCTACAGGAAAAAAAAGATGTACTTTTGACAGCAGTCAGGAGTATTCAGAAGCTATAAAACCAACTTTAATGGAGAAGTTCATTAATGTTAACAAGTAGGACTAAGTAGCTGTCTATTAGAAGTAGAGGATTGGGATAAAAAAAGAAGTTTGTATCTTACCTTTCCAAATGATCCCTGACCAAGAACCTTAAGTAATTCAAACTGTGCGGGATCTGCTTTCTCACACCCTTCTTTCACATGATGGGTAATAGGAATTTCTTTCACATTTCCTTCATCCTGTTAAAAAAAAATGAGGTGGGGCGGAAAGAGGGAGGAAATCAGCACAACACTGAAAAGTATTGAAATAGTTATCTCTTACAATATGTATATACAACTACCGGCTGCATTTGTAGATAATTATTGGAAGGGCACTAATGTTATTTTTATAATTTAACAAGTCATTTTCCTTACTGCTCATATATATTCTCCTTTAGGAATCCTGAACTTGAAGTCTGTTTCCTCACCAAATTCCCTTCCACTAAGACAATATTCTTTATGGAAGGGTTGTAACCATATTATGGATTGTAACCATTACAAATTTCCCCAGAAGAAAGGAATTACAGCATCACAAGGCTGAGATGGCACATCCATTCTAAATCCCTGGCTTCAGTTCCATTTAGCTCTCTCAAAAATAATCATCTGGGGCTGAAATTTATGCTTGGCCTTGGCCAAAATATTGTTAATTAAAACTTACTGGCGATTCCCTCATCCTTCTGAATTAACTGAGAATAAAAGGAAGAGTCCAGAACAAACAGCAAATGAAGTTATTGACCTGAACAACAGAAGGATGTGCATCATTTGGTGACAGTCAACAGAAGATGAATAGTCTATCTAAGCTTAAGAATTCTTCATGGAAAAGCCACCCCTGTGATATGTAAAACAGTTCACAGAAAGATCAGTCTTTGCTGTCATCAGTTCACTTTTTTCAAAAGTTGAGTACAAATCTGAGGTTGGGTAGGAGATTCACCAGGTCTTCAACTACTCTAGCTGCTTCTTGCAGGGATGGCACCTTCTCTAATAAGCAGTGCAGATGACAGTATGAAAATCTGTGTGTGCAGCATGACAGCAGCTACTATTAAGAAAACCCTGGGAGCCAAGGTGAAACCAAATGAGATGATGTACTGTTGATGTATTTAACCCAAGGTGAAAGAGAGAAACTTCTGGTGAGCCACACAGTTAGAATATCAAATAAGCATCCTTCAAATGAAGTTAAGTGCTTAGGTCTACCACAATAACAGAAAAGGTCATTTGAGCCTTGAAATATTTGAAGGTGGAAGAGATCGGATCGAATGAGAAAAATGCTGAAATTTCTTGAGCACTGCAAGCAGAAGTGAATAGACTCCAGAGAATCTGGCCTGAACTGACATTGGGCTTACTGCTTTCAAGTCCTGGAGGTGCCCAGTTACTACCCACTTCCTCATTATTAGTTCCTTCCCATGCTCAGAAGCTACGTCTTGAGGGAAGATAGCTAAAACTCAATACATACACTATGGTATTGCACCTCAGATATGGGGGGGATGGGAAGGGGAAAGCCAACCCTGCCTTTTGTGGGAGGACTGGCTTTCTGGCATCAAAATTTTTCCATGGCCAGTTTGAGGAATGGGAGAGCTACTGCCTAATATCATGCATCAAAGCTTCCAAGGTCAGATATAAAGAGTCTCTTGAGGCAAGAACAGATATGGAAACTCCCAGATGATCTGTGGAAGCTCTGCTGATCCTGATTTAAGCAGGAAAAGCAGTGCTTCCTATAAATAGACAGTCTTTCTCCTTCAGGTCTTGATTCAAGGCCTCCCCCACAAAAGCCTCTTCTTTGTCAGAAGCGACAATAAGATGTTGTTTTGTTTGGAATCCCGACAGCCATATTCAAAGCTAGAGGGTCCTTCTACTCATATTAACAGGCAAAAGTAAGAAAACTGTGTGCATGCTTCTGGGGGAAGTATCAAAGTCAAAATCCAAGGTTAGGAGTTAACTCATTAAGCTTTATGCCCAGGCAAACAGGTTAATTTTTTCCTTTGGTGCAAGAAGCTACAACTGTAAAGTTAACTCTCTGTTTTGTGACAAGATCATTTCTCCTTTAACTATATTAAATGCCCAGAGACTTCATTAATACAGCAATACAGTCTCCTATTGGTTTCTTGTGCCCTTCCAGAACAGGAAGAGTGGCTAACCTTAATTTTCTGAAAGGTAGAAAATACAAAGTTAAGATGCATTCCAGGGGTGGCACGTATCTTAACTCTGCTTCTTCAGGAGCTGGCAACAACCACTGGGAATGGTTCAGTAAGGATGCTGCAAAGGTTAAACAAACAAAGAAAGCGGTAGATTGTCCATCTCTTGATGTCTTGAAACCAAGACTGGATGCCTTCATTTTCCTCCTTTCACCATTCCCTCCCTAAAGGTCAGCATGGTTTCATGCTCAGAATAACTGATACATATTTTGTTTTATAAAATGCCTCATAACTGATTTGAAAGATCTTTTCCCAATGTAAGTCACCAATACGCTGCAATTGTCTAGGCACATCTTGCCAGCATAGAGAGAGTAAGAACAGAAGAGAAAGGGATGAAAAGAAGAAAAAATAAATCAAAAAGATCTTTTTTTAAAAGAATCACCACCACCCCCTCTCAGTTGTAGGACAGCACCTATTTCCCCTTTTGTGGAAGTGCTGGGAGTGGTCACTGCTACTGAAGCTTATAAATAGCTGAGGTGGCATCTTCATAATGCTGGCAAACAGTTTGAAAATTTGAGTGCAGGAACAAGTCAAAGCAGGGGGATTATAGGAGTGAATAGAGTGATTTGAACACATAATAAGATTAGTAAGAGATAATTGTACATCTATAAATACTTGTATCCTGACTAAAAACACTAGAGTACAAAGATCCATACATTGTACAATTGATAATTTTGCAAGCTAGATACCCAGAACCAAAGTGTGGAGGCAGATGGGGACAGTCCAGTTATGCATCAGGAAACGTACCATTTCTGAAAAATATGCTGTTTCACCAAAACCGAAATGTTTAGCAGATATGTTTCCACAAAACTTTAGTTGGAAAGGTTTCTGAGTCCGAGGAAGAGAGAGAAAAAACAGTTTAGCTCAGGGGTTCTCAGACTGGGGGTTAGAAGAACAAGTGCTCATTTCCTTTCTTTTCACCTGTTAAGCTGGGGTGGTCAAACTACAGTCCGCGGGCCAAATCTGGCCCGCCAGCCATTTTAATTCAGCCCTTGATCTCCTGCTGGGGAGCAGGGTCAGGGGCCACTCCACACAGCTCCAGGAAGCAGCCGCATGGCCCCACTCCAGCTGAGTAGCAGGGTCGGGGGCCACGCCACATGGCTCCCGGAAGCAGTGGCATGGCCCCCGCTCCGGCTCTTACACATAGGGGCAGCCAGTGGCTTCCACTCTGCACGCTGCTCCCGCCCCAAGTTCCGCCCCTGCAGCTCCCATTGGCCAGGAACCACAGCGAATGGGAGCGGACGGGGCAGTGTCCAGAGCCGCCTGGCCACATCTCTGTGTAGGAGCTGGAGAAGGGACTTGCCGCGGCTTCCGGGAGCCATTTGAGGTAAGGGCCACCCAGAGCCTGCACCCCTGAGCCTCGCCCCAACCCCCTGCCCCAGCTCTGATCCCCTTCCAGGTCTCCAAACCCCTTGATCCCAGCCCGGAGCACCCTCCTACACCCCAAATTCCTCATCCCCCCACCACACCCCACTCCCCCACCCCGGAGCCCCCTCCCGCACCCTGAACTCCTCATTTCTGGCCCCACCCCAAAACCCGCACCCCCTCCTGCACCCCAACCCCAATTCTGTGGGGATCATGGCCCGCCATACAATTTCTATTCCCAGATGTGGCCCTCAGGCCAAAAAGTTTGCCCACCCGTGTGGTAAGCTAAGGAAGCACAGCACAACTTACTACATTTCCATACCCTCCACTTCCATACCACCCCTCAGTGTGTTCTGGTAGGAGCAGTGGCAAAGCTACTTCATTTTAAAGAAGTATGGCTCTCTCCATCAGCACAAGGAAACAGCAGCTGAACCACACTGGTGCAAAAATCCCTAATGTAGACAAGTTCTAACATCCAAGCCCCAGTCCATCCAATACAAGAACCAAAATCGCCTTTCCAACTGGTTTTCATTCTACACATATTAGCAAGCTTACAGCAGCACAGCTGTACTGATGCAGCTGTGACGCTGCAAGATCACTCATGTAGCCACTCTATGCCTACAGGAGACAGCTCTCCCATCTACATAATTAAACCACCCCCAATGAGCAGCAGTAGCTATGTCAGTAGGAAAGCGTCTCCCGCCGACATAACACCATCCACACCAGCACTTCTATCAGTGTAATTATGTCGCTCAGAAGGGTGTTTTTTCACATCCCTGAGCAACATAAGTTATACCAACAAAAGTGCTAGTACAGACATAGCATAAGTTTTGCTTTAAAGAAAAGGCAGGAAAGAAATACTAGCAGAATTCAAGTTGCCTGGTGACAGCAAGAATTTCTTTAGTTATACATTTAACTGCCTAATAAAATCTTAAATAGCTGTTGATGCTTCACATTAAGACAGAGAAACATTTTACTTAGAAGCCTTTCTATTTCAACATCACTGTCTTCATTTTTGTTCCTTAATACTTAGAACATTTGCATGAAAACAAATTTCTTAAGAGTTCATCTGCTCTTATGTTTATCACCCACCTTGAATCATTATCCTCTGACATCACAATTGGTTGCTGTGGAAACTGACAGTTATTAAACGGGGAACTCAGGAGAAAAATTTGTTTTTCATGCTAATGTCAATTAAAATAAAGAAGAAGTCAATTATAAAGGATGCTTTATAAAGGTAAAATATTTATTTTAAAAAGCAGCTTATTTTATATTTAGTATTCTCTACTATTAGAGAGTTGCAACTTGGCACCCTTGCTGGACATGCAGAGACCTCTGCAACACCCGTGTCAAAGAATGAATAGATTTAAAAAAATGATGCTCGGTTTTACTTTTTGGTGCATAAAAAAAATTAACAAATTCCAATGCTACTTTTATAAATTTCAATTAGGTGAAGCAACTACCAAAGTGTGGTACATTTGCAGTGTATTTGCTATAGGCATGTCTACACAGTCAGTGCATGGCAAGCCAAGGTGTGAATCTACAACACACTAATTGCTGTGCAGATGCTCCTATCAGGCACTAGAAGTTCTGTAGTGCACTCTGACTTTTGGGAGTAGCTTCGGCAAGTTAGTTTGCAGCAAGACAATGCATTATAGATTCACACTCTGGCTTGTGCCCAGTAACTTGCCCTTTGCAAATACATTTCACCACAAGTATAATTCCACATAATCTGAACCTGATCATAAACTTTAAATTTTAATATTTTTCCCCAAAGGGTCACTCTCAGATTACAAGTTTCCCCAACAAATCTGATATAATTAAAACTGAAAATTTCTAAATGCTAATTTATTTTACACTATTCCTCTTTACGTTCATTCAGGTTGAACACTGAAAATATATTAACCCGTTTCTATTTTATTTCTAGTCTAGTCTCCCTCGATTACAAATCTGGTTAAGTGGTTTTGTGCTTTGCTGCCTGGGCAACAACATCCATTTCAGGGCTTAGCATGTGCCAAGCCTCACTGACTTGCTTGCTTACATAAGAGGTAGTTAGTTTCAGCTGCTTAAAGTGGAGGTAATCCAGCACCTACAGCAATATCACTATCAGTTTTGGCTTGTTGCTCAATAATTTATTTACAGCATGAGGGGAGGGTGGCTCCAAGCGCTTCACAATCGGATCAAGCAAGCTCTGAGAGATTCCTTTAGTTCAGGTAAAGCAAAGGGCTTTGACACAACCTACTGCTCATCTCCGTTTACCATGTGGAACAGATTTCTACCAAATTGGAGTCTGTTTATTCCATTGTGCTGGAAGATGTACAAACAAAATAAGAGTTGCTGCCCCAGGCTTACAATCTACACCACTTAAAGAAGACTCAGATATTTTGGTAGTAATGTAGCAGCACACATACTGGCTATTATTACATATCAGGTCTATTTGACACCTCTTCTCCAGGGGCCCATCCAGAGGCTATGGATATCATATTTGCTGAGAAACTACTTTTCCCATTATAAATTTAGGCTTTTTACTGTGGAGAATTACTTAGTTTGAGATTACTCTGAAACCTTAGTTTGAGATTGATTCTGCACGGAAAGTACCAATATTCAACATGTTTTGGGGATGTAACTTGACAAAACATTGGACAGAATCTGTCTTTGGTACAGTATTTCTAAAAAGGCCATCTTCACAGAAAGGTCAAAATGACTATATCTTTGTTTTCAATAGGCAGGTTACACAACTTAGTATTTATCTTATGGGACTGATAGACACTTCAGAAGATGTACAGTCAAACTACCAAAACAACTACAGTAAAAAGGGTGACTGACATTTTCAAAGTCAAAATAGTAATACATTAAGCCCTGTCACCCAACACAAGATCTGCCATAACTGACCAAACAATCTGTCACCAACAAAATCTGGTCCAATAAAAGGTATTACACTTCACCCACTTTGTCTCTCAAACAATCCACACAAGTTCAGTATCCCTGTTCTAGCACCTGAAGCTTCAGAGGGCATTGAAAACCACTTCATAAAAGCATTTAATCTCTCATTTAATGTAGTATAGAGCAAGAAAAAGTTCTTTCCTACTACTTGCCCGTGAGTAGCTCATGCCCTGAAGCTTGACAAGTTTTCTCCCTTTCAAATCAAACTAAATTGACTAAATAACCTGGGCTAGATCAATCAAAATATTTAAATTAAGTGGGTCTTGGAAGATTCACAGAAAATTTAAGAATTCCTAGTTAGCAGCCCAGGATCCAAACAGCCCAATAAAAAGAAACAGGCCACAATTTTTTAAAATGATAGACTTAATTTTGGGCACCCAACTTGAGACTCCTTTAAGGAGCCCATTTTATAGAAAGAGCTGAGAATCTTCCTCTGAACCTTGAGAAGCAATGAGGTGTAGAGACATAATTGCAAATGAGCCCTGTCCCCAATAAGAAAAACATTTATCGAACTTCAGATGCTTGCTTTGAAATAAAACATCAGATATGTAGCTTGCAGGCTTGTGGCCAAAAGATTCACGCCAGGTATCTTTCAGAATTGCACCTATAAATATCAACAGTAGAGTCAAGCTCAGTACAGGACTTTTCTACCTTCTCCTCAACCCCAAAGAATTGAAAAGGGAGCATTATACCTCGACTTAAATGGAGATTTTATGAGCCAGTCATCTTGGCAAGGTTATGTGTTACTTATGAGGATAAGAATGATCAGTCACCATCATCAGATATTAAGTGAACAACTTTGTGGAGTGCAGGCAGCACAAGATATAACATCATAAAATGGAAATGGTCGTTGCCCAGTTTAAATCTGATACACATCCTAGGCATACTTCTGATCAATATTTGGGAGCAAGATGTATACTTTCATGCCTTGATCAGGAGAAAACCTGGAAGAAGCTATGCTGAAACTGAGGGCCATAAACCAATCTGATAAGCTGGAGAAGGGAACATTTTCCAGAAAAAAAAAAAAAAAACATGAATCATCATCTTCCTGAGATGCTTAGTCAGTTTTCAAAAAGGTCAAAAATGGGGTACAGGCCTGCTTTTTTCTTTGGAATAAGAAAACCGGAATTAATCTCTTTGCTCTATTATATATCTATTGTAAAATCAACAGTTGAGATCATCCCAAGGAAATTAAAGATTAGGAGGCCAGGTCAAAACCCAGCCCCTTTCCAACTGGAAGGCAGCCTCATTCAGTCATCTCTAATTGTTTATACTGCTTGCTTTGTGGCTCAAACCACGGTGCACAACTACTACAGTGGGTAAATCTTTTAAAAGGACTTCCCCACGGCTCTATGCAAGCAATAAGCATCCAATACTATATTCATCAAAACGTACTTACATTGTAAGAATATGGTTCTCCTTCTTCCATGGGCTCATCCACCATTTTAAGACCGTTCAGCTAGGAGGGAAAAAAGATTAATCAGCAGCAGCTAAGTTAGAGAGACAGGAGTAAGTTAGAATAGCATTACAACCCAATTCCAACAGAAATACTTTCATTGCTAATCTGATTAATATTATAAAGCAAGCAAAAATGAAAGTTGGGTTTCCTTTTGGATTGACAACTGCAATTTTGAACCAGGTCAGACTACAAAGAGACAGCTGCTTATTCATTTAACAAATTGCTTTGTAAATTTTGCTACGTTGTGTTGATTGACTAGGGATTAATTAAAAATAGAAGCTGTGCACAACACTTATGTCAGACATTGCGTACAGTGCCTTCCCCACTCTTGCTAGGAAATGTCTGCCACACAGTTTAAGAAACTGTAGTTTGCCAGTGAGCTAATTTAGAGTTTAAGAAGAAAAGATTATGAACAGGTCTTAGATTTATCGAAGAAAACATGGAAATATTTATCAAGAAGTTAAAATCAAGTATAAATTCTTTGTGTACTAGAATATTTTGGAAAATAATTTGAGATTCCATAACTATATGTCCTTAAAATAATTTTGAAAATTTTTATACTCGCCATTATTCAATGGATCTAAATCAGTGGTTCTCAAACTAGGGGCACCGCTTGTTCAGGGAAAGCTCCTGGCGGGCCGGGCCAGTTTGTTTACCAGCCACGGTTCACTGCTCCAGGCCAATGAGGGCTGCAGGAAGAGCGGCCAGCACATCCTTCGGCCCACGCCGCTTCCCACAGCCCCCATTGGCCTGGAGCAGCGAACCGCGGCCAGTGGGAGCCGCGATCAGCCAAACCTGCAGACACGGCAGGTAAACAAACCAGCCCGGCCCGCCAGGGGCTTTCCCTGAACAAGCAGCACCCCTAGTTTGAGAACCACTGATCTAGATAATTCTACCTTGGCAAACTGAGTAATTCTCAAACTTTGTGACGTACCACCATTTCTAATGGAGGAATTGAGGTCTACAGGATTTTTAAAAAATTAGGAACAAAGAATTATAGATGCCACAGAGAAGGAAACTTGTCTGTGAACAGATCATTTTAAAACAGCTGGTATGTAAAAGGAAAAATAGGAGTAATATTGTGTAGATTTAATACCAACAATTTGGAAGAAATGAAACTAGTTTAATTAAAACACTACCCCACCTGTAACAAATCTTCCTTTCTCAGCTTCTCAACCAACTAGAAGTACAGTAAGCCAACAAACTAAAAACATGTAATTTATAAAATTAGTAATGTAGATGTCCTGTAGTTAAACTTTTCCTCCTCACTAACAAACACTAAATTTGGCTTAACAGTTGAAACTTAAGAAACACAAAAATAAAAGGATATGCCCTGCTTCAACATGCAATGTATTAATTTAAAAACTGGAAAAACCTGGTGAAAAGGGTGAGGCCAATTATTCATTTTGATATAGCAATTACCATGCAATTCAAAACATTAGTAACTATCACAATATCTCCACCCTCATGTGGCACACACATCACTCAGGAAAATGTTAAATAATATAAATTATGAGAAACATATTAGTGAACTAATATTTTTTATTTCTGGAAATGAAAATTCAGGCAATACACTAGGTTACACAGCTAAATACAAGCCAGATTTTAAATTTTACCTACTCTTTTTGGCCTATCTAAAATATCAAGAGAAAGAATAGGATGTTCACCAATACATCTCTTCCTTCACTGTTGCATGTGATTTTTAGGAGAGGTTTAATTCTTGAAGTAGTGAAATCTGATGCAAACTAAATCTGAAATCTGGTTAGCAAAATGCAACCCAGAAAAAAGTGGTAGTATTCTTTTTTTTTTTTTTTTTTTTTTTTTAATGTACTCAAGATGCTGTTCATAGCAAAAGTTGAGGTTTCGGCTAACTTTGGTCTCTTCCTAGTGTTTTTATTTTATATATCTTTTTTATCCGAGTTAGATGATTTTTTCACATTAAACAAGTATCTCTTAATCTGACCGCTGGTTAATCAGATGCTAGCCAGTTCTGCCCCCTCTTCCTAACAATATGAACAAACTCCATTTCCTCAAGACTGCAGATCCCTATGCCACTACCTGAAGGTTCTGGATGCTTCCAAAACACTTTTTAAAACAGCTTGCTACTGAACTGTACACAAAAAGTCTTAAGTGAGAAACTTCCGAGGGGAAAGTTAACATGCTACCTGGAGCTGTGCTTGCGCACGTACATATGCACATAGTACAACTTCTCTCTTATGCACTCCACCACTTGAGATTTACTAGACTTATCGGGTTTTTTTTATTATTATTATTATTTTACTTTTAAGTACATTTAGTGTTCATGAAAATTGCCATAACAACAACTCTGGAGAATGAACACTGTTTATCCACAACAGAAGTACAATTCAGTATAAGCGGAAGCTTACTCACGCTACCCTGTTCTGGAGGGGCTCTTGAAGGCATCAGGTGTTACTATCAATCGCGACTGGAAAGTAAAAGGCTTTGTATTTCATATATGATACTCGAACCAAACAACTACTAGTTTTAGATGTTTTAAATAATACAGATGTACATATTATTTTCTCCATAAAAGACTTTTATTAGATAACATTTTTGTATGCAAGCCACCATTGCAAACAAAGTGTTAGTGATCTTGTTATTGATCTGTGGACGTTCTATAAGGCACTCTGATATCAACAGTAAGGTGTGGCCAGAACTTCAAGCCTGGTTACCTAAAATTAATCTCCTGAATCTGTATTTAGGCACCTACATTTTAGTGGCCAGATTTACAGGCATGCCAAACACTTATAGGCCCCCATAAGAGCTCAACTTTAGGCAAGCAGGTATGAAAACTTTGGTGAACGCCTAGATGTATTTTTCCCCCTCAAAATACATTATGCTGTTTGTTCAGCATACTTTTGCATTCCTGTCAACTCATATACAGTAAATTACTGAATTTGATGGCAGGTAGTCAAAAGTTACCTTAATTAGCAGTTTCCTGTTATATGTTTTGTCTCTCCAGTATTAGTTTTTTCTGTCCATTCTCTCTTTCTTTATTGATCTTTAAAACTCGCTCTATTGGGCCCAGTGAAGTACACTAGAATATGCCACATCCCAAGTTTCTTGCTACTAAAGCACAGTTTCACTTACTGAACTCTGTCAATGTGGCTGACTACTTAGACTTCATAAAAAACAGCTTTTGGATCACCAAAAGTTCACTCACCTGCAGTGTGCACTTTTAAAATAATATTTAGTTCTAATATTTTCCAGATAAGCTATCAGATCAATACACATTAGATAAATGACTGCAAATTTAAAGACTAAAAGGTTGCAAACAAACATTTTCTATCATCCTCAAATTCTACCTCTCATCAAGTGTTTACTAGAGATATATCCTTTTAGTTTTAACTCTGTATACTAACTTTTTAGTCCAAAGAAATATTCAAGTTTATAAACCTGGTTTTACAGTCTGACATTGTTGGAGACTACAATGCTGGATTATTCACTTGTGAATTATAACCACCATCCCTCAAACAAATCCTCAGATAAACTCATGGACTGCAAGACACAATCCAAGGAGTTTTAAACAAGGGCACAAACTTCGTGCTATTGACCTACAAAAAGTCAAAATTATGATAAAGTGAGTCACTAGCTTTTTAATATTCTGTAGAATTACTTGTATTCAGCAAAGGTTTAATATTCAACATTATCCATTACCTTACCTAAAATGTTATACAGCAAATACTAAATATCAAGCCTAACTCCCACGCGTAAAGAAACACAAAAAAATACTAACTTGAATTCTGGCGTTTCAGATTACTTTTTTCAGTAGAAGTTATTACTGGCAAATGGCTTATCCACTGAGATATATTCAGCTATTTTTAATAAAGTTTCTGATTGTTATATGCAAAGGATAAAGGAATTATTCTAGCCCATCAAGTAAATAATATGTATCTATTTAGGGGGGCACAAAACTAAATTTAGAACATCTAGATCCTTGGGTGCATTTATCTTCAGAAAAGAAATAAATATGTGAACTAGAAAATATAGGCTAATCCTTTCACAGGCAACTTGTGAAAGGAAACAACATAGCTAGTGAGAACCAACAAGTGCCATCAGAATGAGAGACAGTGGAATCACTCAGCTCTTCAGTATTTAACTTCGTTGTAATTATTAAAAGGCTGAAAATATTAAACCATCAACACAAAAGCTAACTGCAGCAGTACTTTTCAGCGAACTGTATACATTTTAAAAGGTGCTGTAGGTTGCTGGTTAGTACAGATTAAAAGAAACCTCTGCATACAAAAAGACAAGACTAAAATCATATCCTATAAGCCAAGACAATACTAATGGTGAAAACTTACTTTTTCAGATGAACAGCTTTGAAGGTCCAACCAACCTTTCAATGCCAAACTGCCTGTCTACATGAAGTTAAAGTGTAATTTGCTTTCTAATTTAAATACATTGCTACAGCTTCAGTGGATCCCGTGACTGGTTGGGAGTGCACTGTATTAATTTGGGAGAATACATTAATTTTTTTTTTATTTCCTTAAAAATCAAGCCTTTTGGCTACGTAGGATTTAGTCAACAGGCTGAAATATGTCTACTACAGTAAAATATCACATTGCACAACAGCCTGAGTTCCATAACTCCTCCAACAAGAGAAACTTTCAATGTCATCACAGGCCCCTTAAAAAAAAAAAAAAAAAGATAGCCACAGTAGTTCTAACACTACTTAAATGTCTCAGCTTGTTTAGTGAGTTTTTTTGCTTTAATGTGCCTGGAGGTTTTAGCTAGAAGAAGAGAAGAACAGAAGTGGAGCATTCCAACAGGTTGACAACAATTCCAAACCATGAGAGAATCCAATTCTCAAAGGTCAAAAACTGGTTGGATTACCCCTCTACTTAAAATTCTTCATTTTGTCTTTCCAACAGAATTAAAGAATAAAAGAAAAATCAAAACAGCAGAAGTGGGCATTTTATACATGCAATACCACCGGGGTGCAGGAATAAGATCTACAGTCAACAAGGTAAAACCAC